CCAGCTGTCCAGAGTGATATCAGCTTGTCCATCCCTCAGTCCTAATGTAAAGTTATGCTCTACTGGCCACATACTAATTACTCTCACTCAAAAATCAATTCCTGCCAATTACTGGAACACATTCCATTAATATAAGCTTAACCTTCAGCAGCAGTGACTGACCTCACCTATCTATTATGAGAAAAGTAACTCTTTTCTCCAGTCCTTTTACTTCTTATCAGATGTATAGGCATGCTAATAGCCATGGTAAGGCCTAAGCACATTAAACCTGCTTCAAACCTGTCAAATACACGATCATTCATTAAACACAAAGTAAGAAAATGTACTTTGAAGCATATCGTCGCTGTATTTCTGAAAACTTTACAGGAAAAGGCAAAAACATCCTTAACTTTGAATGCAAGTTAATGTAAACAGCTTTTATTCCAAGTCATTAGACACGTTTACATGCAGCCTAATAACCCAGTAATAATCTGACTAATTGCGCAATTGGAATAGAATATGTCCATGTAAACACTTCAATTGGAATAGACTAGTCCGATTGAGGCCAGTCAGAATACAGTTTCTATCTGAATGAACGAGGTGGGTAATCCTATAAATAATCCATTAAATAGAAGAATAGTAGCCATGTAAACGCCTGTATCTTATGTGTCTCAGAACACGACGTCTTCCTCTTGCCCTTCTTTAAAAAGTACATGTGAGCTTCATTTTATTGAGTCTGTCATCATTTTACAGTAATTAAAATCACAAGGACTGCTCAACGCTGCTCGTCTCACTCTGACTGGATGCGATACTCGTTGTCGTGGTAGCGTAAACACTAAGTGGTATTTTACATATGAGCACAATTTAGGATCAGATTACTTGTAGTGTGCATGTGAATGGAGATTTCCATCAGATCGTTGAGTAGAGTGATCATATAAATACCTCAGTCTTAATCTATAATCAGAATGTATTCAATTGGATTGGCAAAAATCTCTGCATGTAAACACTGAGTCATTGTGGATCATTTCTATTGGTCCATTTATCATGAAACGTAAAGGACAGTTGCTGTATTCTAATGACGCAGAAAATATCAATCGGAAAAAAGGGATATAGATGTTTTCTTTTTTTATATAGACATAATAAATCTATTACAACCAGTTAATATACTAAAAACATTGTGTTCCATGACCATAACAGGCCTAGTTAGCTGCACGCTATCTTTTCACATGTCTCCAGCGTCTGAGTGGCTGTATTTCAGCACACTTCTCAGCATGAAGTTTTCATGGCTCCACATTCTTACCTCTATAAAGCTAAACGACTGCACAGTATGGTGTATAGTGTTAGAATGGCTGTAAATTCTACAGGTCACCTTAGGTATAAATATCTTTTAGACCAGTACCACTCTTTCAGCATGGGACTGAAAAAAGGAAATGGATGAGGGTGAATGCTAAAGTACTAAAGAAAGGAAGGAGGGAAGGAAAGAAAGAAGAAAGTAAGAAAGAAAGAAAGAAAGAGAACAACATTCATCCCAGTGAGGGTGACTCAAGCTGCATGTCGAGTGACTTGGGACTTAGCTCGGGTTCATCCTTAATTGACTCGTTACTTGACTCTGACTCACTCTTAACTGATTTGCAACTTGACTCACAGTCGTTCTTAACTGACTCACAATTTAACTCAGATTTGCCCTTTACTGACTCACGACTCAACTTGCACTCGTCCTTAATTGACTTGCAACTCCACTGAGATTTGCCATTGACTCACAACTTAATTAACATATTGACTCGGACTCACCCTTAACCGACTCGTGAATCGACTCTCAGTTGCCCTTAACTGACTCATGACTCAACTTGGACTAAAGGCTATAGACTCATGAAATTTCTTGAGTTTGCCTGTCAGTTTTGCTACTGTCATGCACATTCCATTAATGCAATGCCATCCTCCTCGCATCACATTTGATACATCTTAAAATAAAAAGCCGTTTATTAGGTTTAAAATGGCTATTAGGTACAAATTATCCTTTTTTCAGGACATATTTGTGAGGAGATTAGATGTTATATGCATAAGGTCAGGGAAAGAACTGAAAAAAACAGGGGTTCTCCAAAATAGAGTTCCCAAAAGATACCCAGAAAATGAAAGCTCTTTCAACTGTGCTAGACCGGGTAGAACACCAAAACTGTCACTACCACATAAACAGCACTTTCAGCTTTGAGGGATATGAGGAAATCAAGCTCCACTCTTGCTTCAGATCTGAAAGAATCTACAGGTGTTTTTCAGCTGTTACTGAGAAAACAAAATAGACAACAAAAAAAGGAAAGAGCATTTGCAAATCAAATATAAATGCTTCTGGTTTTCTTAGAGCAATGGACTGACCTCAACATCATTCAATGTGTTAACTGGATCGTGAAAAGCAGAAAATGCATCCAACTTTAAACCTGAACTTTGGAGGTATGGTAAAATGCCTAAAGATTTCATTGAAAACTGAAAGTAAGATTTCCAAAAAGAATAAAGGCTGGGGAAAATTATATATATATATATATATATTATATATATATATATATATTCATTGTTAAGGCTTCCATCAACTTTCTGAATAATAAAGAAATAAAGTATACTTAAAGCAGCATTGTGCAAGAATTGGTACTTTTTGCTCATGGACAGCTGTACACGTGCATTTGTTGACAAGCTAAAGGACACAGAATCCGACTCTCCTTCACATGCACAAGCCTCACGCAGGCATATGGACACCACAGATTACGCACATAATTCCATCCATCCATCCATCCATCCATCATCTAAACCGCTTATCCTTCTGGGTCGCGGTGGGGTGCTGGAGCCTATCCCAGCTGTCATTGAGCGGAAGGCAGGATACACCCTGGACAGGTCGCCAGTCCATCGCAGGGCAGACAGACAAACATACACATTCACATACACTCTCACACCTAGGGTCAATTTAGCATGTCCAATTGGCCTGACTGCATTTTTTTGAACTGTGGGAGGAAACCGGAATACCCGGAGGAAACCCACGCAGACACGGGGAGAACATGCAAACTCCACACAGAAACGACCCTGGTCACCCGGCCGGGAATCAAACCCAGGCCCTTCTTGCTGTGAGGCGACAGCGCTACCCACTGCGCCACCGTGCCGCCCCACATAATTCCAGTTGTTTTTATATGTAAATAACTGAAATTGTGAGTGTAATCTGTAGAATCTATATGCCTGCATGATGCACCTGCACATAAAGGGGAGTCAGAATTCGGCACAACACTGGTAAAGACAACATCAGAAGAGAAAGAAGCATGTCGACTTACAAGGTAAAGTAATATTACAGGATTTTATTACAGGAGGTTGCGAACTTTCAAGGCTTATGTGGAGTGAAATTGACAAAGCCTGACCAAACTTTTTTGGTGTGAGATAAATTTATTTCTTTGCATACTTAGATGGTTAGATGACTTTTGGCATCCAGAAAAACTACAAAACTCTGTGAGACAGTGTCTTTCTTTTTTTCTCACTTCCTCTGTCAATGTCTTATACAGTCTCTTTACAGCCTCTGCCAAGATGTCCATTCTGGGAAAATCGAGCTACTCCTTATAGCTAGCTAAAGAACCATAGTTGCTGCTGTGTAATGTGGTGCCTTAAAATGTTATGCAGTTCTCACGAGAGGTTTCATGCCTGCTCCTCCAAAGTTACATAGCACTATAGCAAGAGTTCTGGGCCCAGAGTGGCAATGACAGACATCCCATTCTCCCTATTATAAGTAAGTGTACCATTAAAATGAAGTTATTTTAAGGTAAAATTGTTATGTTGCTTATGTTGCTTTAAAGGCCATTTTAACTGGAAATTCAGTAAATGATAAGCGGTCTCTGATTTTTGCACAGTACTGCATAATCATAGCAGCAGATGTGAATCCACTACATCTATCCCATGAGTATATGCAAATCTTAGTGGTTTGCTAGCGGCTATATGGGCTATACTTGCGCACTGTGTAGGCTACATCTATGTTGCTAACTTTGGACATCCACTCGGAATACATTATCCTGGTTCTGTTAGCTCTTTTTAATGTGTTTCAGACCCTCCTCCATGCACGCTACCTAGGAGACCTGCACCCTGCACAGTAACCCCAGTCTGCTCTGCCTCAGGCCCAGCCTGACACTCAAAACCATGTAATCTTGTTTACATAGAGCCACGGGGCTCACAGCCCTTCAGCCTGGTAAAGTTGGCTTTTAACATGGACAGCACAGGTTAGGGTATGCAGACAAATACACACATGCATCCAAGAACAAACACCAAAAATACACAAGCACAGAAATATTCATTAACAGCATATTTGTTTTCAGATAATAGCGTTTGCCCATAAAAAAGACAAATATTGATATTTATACAGTTGATTACAATCTTGTAAAGAAAGATGGATCCAACAAATTGATACTATGGGTCCGTTTCCTTCATACAGGTACTCTGAACCTCAGGTTGAGACCTGTACTCTAGCTTAGCTCTCATATTTATTGATTGATACACTTCTGAGCTAAAGAACACATTAAGGAGGAACGTGGGGAACCTTTTTAAACCTCAGACATTTCATCACAGCATCACTGCTGATCAAAAAAGTTGAGTTATTAAGTAAAAGAGTAGATATTTAATTACCATCTACTTTGAATTAGATAAAAGGTTTGTGTCACTCTTTTTATACAATCTTTTTATATATCTTTTCAAATGTAAATAAGCAGGAAGTGTGGCTGTTGGTACAGAATGTGAATTAAATGTAAATATGACTGTCTAGCTATGTAATCACAGTGTAATTATAATATAGTTACTGTGTTATTACGTTAATCACACTAATCACATGTATTTGCTGTATAATTACACTGAAAAGCACAGCAAGATAAAAGCAATATTACTAGACTTCTAAGGGTTAACATAGACTTTATGTGCACCCAATGTAACACAAAAGTAAGTGTTATTCCAGGGCTTTCAACTGTAATCTCAACAAGGTCATTCATATTTAGCTTGTATAAATGCCTTACCTTTCCTGAACTCCCAGCTCCAACGTCTACTGATAGACTGCAAGGAAAAGAAAAGGACCATTATTATGTTTTACAGTGGGACAGTCATGTATAGAGTAAAACAATACACCTATTAATGCCTCATAGATGAATAATGCAGAACTGCAGTCATAAAGCAGGTATTATATGTGTCTACTCTTTCTAGATGAGAGCCTGTGCGGCGTTGGCCTCAGGGGCTGGTGGGCTTGAGTTTAACAAAGCGTGGAACTAAAAGCCACCTTGCTGCATGACTCCATAGGAGCACCTCCCAGGGTCCTCAATCAGCCTGACTCTCCATTAAGAGAGAGAGAGAGAGAGAGAGAGAGAGAGAGAGAGAGAGAGAGAGAGAGATAAAAAGAAGAGAAATAGAAAGAGAAAGAAGATAGGTAAGAAGGTAAAGAGAGAGAGAAAAAGCAAGAGAAAGAGTGAGAGAAATGGCAAGAAAGATGAGGGGGGAGAGAAAGAGGGAGAGAGAAAGAGAAAATAGAAAAGGGAGAAAGAGTGACAGACAAAAAGAGAAAGTGAAAGAAAGAGAGACAGAAAGAGAAAATAGAAGGGAGAGAAAGAAGAGAAAGAGACAAAAAGAAAGAGAGGGAGAAGGAAAAGAGAAAGAAGGAAAAGAGTAAAAGAAATGAGGCAGAGCATAAGAGATAGAGAGTGGGAGACAAATAGGGACAAAAAGAAAAGTCATAATGAAAAAGAGAGAAAGAAGAGGAGAAATAGAAAGAAAAAAATTACAGAGAGAGAAGAGCAAGAGCAAGAGCAAGAGCAAGAAAAAGAGTAAAAGAAATGGAGAGAAAGATGAGAAAGAAAATAAGAGAGAATAAGTGAGAGAGGGGGAGAAAAAGGGAGAGAAAAGGAAAAAATAAAAGAGGTAGGAAGAAGAGAAAGAGAGTGAGTAAGAGACAAACAGTGGAAAAGAGAAAAGGGGAGCGAGAGACAGAGAGATAGAGTAGAAGAGAAAGAACAAGAAAAAGAGTGAAAGAAATGGAGACAAAGGTGAGAAAGAAAAAGAGAAAGAGAAAGGGTGAGAGAGGGGAGAAAAAGAGAGGGAAAAAAAAGAAGAGGGAGAAAGAGAAAGAGAGTGAGTGAGAGACAAACAGTGGAAAACAGAAAAGGAGAGAGAGACAGAGAGAGAGAATGGAAGGAGGAGAAAGAAGAGAGAGACACAGAGAGAGAGAGAGACAGAAAGAAAGAGAGAGGAAAGAGACAGAAGGAAAGGAAAGAAAAAAGTGAAAGAAGAGAGAGTGTGTAAGAAAGAGAGAAGAGAAGATAGAGCATAAAAGAGTGAGAGAGAGAGAGAGAGAGAGAGAGAGAGAGAGAGAGAGAGAGAGAGAGAGAGAGCTCTATGAGAGTTTAGTGCTGTCAAACCATCGTCTACATCCCTGATACACACACACACATGCACACACACACACACACACACACACACACACACACACACACAGGTACAGCACCCCTGCAGCGAGTCATTCAACAATACACCATCTACAGCTTCAAAGGGGACGTCTTTTCAGAAGCGCACAAAGAACGGCTGGAGTCACTGACCTGAATTTCATTTCAGCAGGCGAGCGAAGCTACGACTGAACATCCAGAAAAAACACGGAAATATATTTAGGCTATTACTGTAATGGGATGAAATCATTCATTGATTTCCATATAAATGGCTAAATTAGGCTCCAGTGGGTAAAGCGTCATTAAACCGCATGAGGTCAATTTGTTTCTTTTGAAATTCACATTTGCAACCAGTCAGAGAAAGCAGAGATAAAGTGTACAGTTATCAAACAGCAGCATTCACGTTTTAATCAAAAACATCATCAGGCACAGCCATGCAGGTTTAATGGGCAGGAGACACAAGAGCCTCTTCTGTGAGTCACTGTGAGTCTGAGAGAAGATTAGAATGAATATATCCCTATAGTGCAGGGGGTACAGATACAGATATAGGGGTTGAGGAACAAGATTAGAGATAACATGACCCATTCCATTATTTTGGAAGTCGCAATGGCTCATTTGTGCAGAATAAAGCCGTAAGAGGACATGTGTGTAGTGACTTTACCAGAGGAACAAAAACCATTACAAAAGCAAAAAAACTAGGAGTGACAAATGTACCTGTTAACTGTAATAAAATTAAAAAATAGCTGGTTTCTAACAAAAGCAGATCTGCTGCTGTTGGCAGAGAGGGTCAATGGGAATGGAGTAATGCTAAAAGTAATGCTAAAGGAGAATAATGCTAACCGCACTGTGACAAACGCAGTGAACAAACACAGCAAACCACCTTGGAGCTCTCAATGACTCAATAGCAAGTGATGCATGGTTATTAATATCTGAACATCACAAGCATGATGACATCTTGGTGCGTATGTTCACTGAGACAAGGACGTCAACAGCACTGTGTCAGTTTATCACATTGATGGATTAAGCTCTTGTCTGTACATACAGGGAATAAGAATTGTTTTGTGGAGTTGTAAAAGCTCAATAACAGTGCATAGTTTCGCTGTTTATACACAAATTATGCATTTTCAGCACTGCTGTGTCTGATCCACTCAGACCAGCGCAACACACACTAACACACCACCACCACGTCAGTGTTACTGCAGTGCTGAGAATGATCCACCACCCAAATAGTACCTGCTCTGTGAAGGTCCATGGGGGTCCTGACCACTCAAGAACAGGGTAAAAGGGGGCTAACAAAGTATGCAGATAAACAGATGGACTACAGTCTGTAATTGTAGAACTACAAAGTGCACCTATATAGTAAGTGGAGCTGATAAAATGGACAATGACTGTTGAAACAAGGAGACGGTCATAATGTTATGCCTGAACGGTGTAGATTTGTCTTTAAGTTCTCAGATTACCTAGCTAGTTTTTCCTCAGATTGGATGGCATGTCATGTATATCACATCACAGTCACAAAACGTTGTATCTTATCAAATACATACCTGTTCACTAGGAAAAACCTATTTAAGGTATGGTTGGGCCATAAGACCACTGTTGTACTTTTGAGGGTACATGTACATTGTCTGCACCTTGATGAACAAAAAAGCACCTGTACAGTACATTTTTCTGATAGTTGAGTCAGTATAGGTACAGACATACCTCAACTTCAAAAGCAATTGCAATTAAATGTTAAAATATTTTAGTTTATAGGTCAAACTGCCCCCTTAGTTTATTTTTGAGTGTGGATTGGATCTGCCCATGGAGAGGGGCAGCTGACCTCACCTCTGGGTAGTGGCGCCAGCTGAACTCTCTGCGATTTTGGGGCTGGGGATCCATTTGGTCTCATCTACCACGGTGCGGGCGTGCGGGAGCCGCCCCACGTCCTTTATGGTCATCAGCATGTGGCGGGAGGTCTTGAGGATCTGGACGGCCTCATCATGGGCGATACTGCGGAAACTCCGCCCATTCACGTCCAGTATCTGATCTCCAACCTGGAGAGAAAGAGAGAGGAAAGGATGGGGGGGCGTTTAAACCTTTTGCATAGAAGGAAAAATGGTTCTGCATAACTGACTCCTCTTTTTGAGTAACACACTTTTCTCAATCATGCTTATCTTTAGATGAGAAGAAAATTAAAGAAAGCCATTTCATTTTTCAAAATTAAACAGTATTTTCTAACCACTTTGAACAAATAAACAAACACATAACAGTTTACTGTAGACTTCAGTCACCTCTTAGTAGTGTTACTCTGATTGCACAAATGATTCAGATGAATAAAATAAGCTGTTACTGATTTGAATTCTGGTCTGAATGTTAAGAAACTGCTGCACTCCATTTAACAACAGCAGTATTGTGGAGCTTTGCCAATTATTGCTGCTTCCTTTTGACACATTTAATTTGCTGCTTTAAGCATCATAGGGCCTTTGCATCATGACTGCTAAAATGTGTCGTTTAATAAGTAACAGACTTTCTTTTAAATGGTCCGCATCACGGAAAACCTCATTTTCCTCCTTGTTGGGGTAAGAGAAGTGTTTGATGTAATATGTGAACATTTTTAAAGTTTCAAAATGTACCCTTCACTCCCCGGTCCATCTGGAAATGAAGCTGCAAAAACAGCCTGTTCTGAATTGTTTTTTATGTTGTATTAAAAACCAACAAATTTACTTATATCTGTCTATTCAGCAACAGTTTAGCTCCGCCCATTCATGCTATAGTTCTAAGGAGTGTTTTTAGATTGAGCATTTCACATCGACTTGAATGAAAGCTGTCATCCTATCTACAGATTAAAAATCTTCTATAAGACCACACTGAGATGGGACCAATAAATAAATGACCAATCCAACCAATCCAATATCGTAAAGTAATATCAGAAGGTAGTCCTGTATAATACGACCAATATGACCTCTGAGGACACGCACACTGCTGAGAGAGAAAGAGAGAGAGAGAGAGAGAGAGAGAGAGAGAGAGAGAAAGAGAGACTCCTACAAAAGAAATGAGAAATGAGAAAAAAGAGCTAGAGAGAGAGAAAAAGAGAGACATTGAGTTTGAAAAAGAACATATGAGCGCAGCATAAAATGTGCCTTGATGCCACCCCAATATGTGCTCACAATGCATCTGAAATTAGTGCTCAGTTTACTAAAGCTAAAGATATTGCTGAGGCGCGAAGTCTAAAAGGCTGTGGAACAGTCAACAATCCTGGGACAAAAGAGAAAGTAAAAGTTGAATGATGAAGAGATTGCGGTGTTAATAAATAAAGTTCTTTCCCACCAAAACTTTGCACAGAGGTGTCATATTGTATTCAAGATAAGAAAACATAAAACTGAATCTGAGCACATATTGCACTCACACGATGGCATATAGTATCTCACTATTTGATCTTCAGTTAAACAGTATGTATAGATAAATAGTACGTAATAGAACGAAAAAAAAATGGAAATTTGACTTTGCAATCATTTATTCAAAAACTTCAAAAAAATTTAGATGCCATATTGGCTATTGAAAAAGTATGTACACCTTTGGCAGAAACAACTTTATGTAGGCACTTCCTATAACTGTCTACCAGTTTCTGACACATACTAGGAGAAATTTTTACCCATACTTCCCTGCAGCATTCTTTTAACTGCACAATTTTTGAGGGGTTTCTTGCATATACAGCCTGTTTCAAATCCCCCACATCATTCCAATAGGATTCTGATCTGGGCTTGCCAAAACCCTCTATTTCTTCATTTTGAGCCGTTCCTTTGTGGATTTACTTGTATGTTTGGGATCATCATCGTTTTGAAAGGCCCACATATTCAGCTTCAATTTTTATACAGAAGGTCTCACATTCTCCTCAAGCACATTCTGGTATGAAAGAGAATTCATAGTCAATTCTATGATTGCAAGTTGGACAGGCCCTGAGGAAGCAAAGCAGCCCCAAACTGTAACCATGCTTCACAATCGGTATGAGGTTCTTCTGATCAAATGCTGTCTCTTTTTGCCAAACATGGTTTCAGGTACTGTGGCCAAATAACTCTATTTCTAGCTTGCCTGTCCATAGCACATTGTTCCAAAAGTCCTAGTCCTGGCCTAGATATTGATTAGCAAATGTTAATCTTGCCCTGATGTTCTTTTTAAACAGCAAAGGCTTCCTCATGGCACATCTCCCATGTTGGTCAAATTTGTACAGTAGTTTTTTAAATGGTATGCATGCACTTCCACATCAACAGTGGCAAGAGCTACCTGCAGATCCTGTGATGAAATTTTGGGGCTCTTAGAGACTTAGAGACCCAGCACATTTAACCCGAGAGCAGGCCTTAAGATGCTGGGGCAGCCTGGCCTGGCCTTGGCAGTGGTTTTAAATCTTCTCCATTTGTAGGTGATTTTCCAGACAGTGGGATAATTTGATTTCCAGTATTTTGCACATCTTATTAAACTCCTTCCCAGACTCATAGGGACCTACAACTTTCTTTCTGAAGGCCTCAGAGAGCTCTTTTGATCTAGGCATGATGCTACCACACACTCCAATAACAAAGAGCAAACCTGGCCAGATATCTGAGGTTTAAATAAGACAAAAACTGCAATTTTGTTTATTTCAACAACATAAAAGATGACAAAGAATTTTATTCTAAGTGTCACTTGTTAAATTATAACAACTTTATCTATCAACATTGTTTAAATGAAGACTTGATATCAACATCTCCAAATATGCTGAAAAAGTCTGAACTTTTCATGGGGTATAGAGGAGACTGGGGCATCTTGTCACAGGGGTAAGTTGTCACTGTTTAGCCCCGCCCTAACATCAGAGGGTGCAACTTAGAAGTGGAGCAACTACTTGGTCTGATGTCATATCCTGTCCGGGAAAGGCAAGACATACTGTGAGCTGCGGTAAGATTTGCCATTTTCCACACTCTGAAGTAAACAATTGGAACATTACATTTTGTGTAATCATTTTCTTCTAGTTAATATCTTCACAATCATACGTTTGGTGCCCGAAGCCTACCGGCAAAATTTTGTATCCCGGACGAGCCCCCAATTCTGTCACGACCCGGTCCGGTGTCTGGTCTGGCAGCAGGTCTGGGGAGAGAGCCCACTCTCATTCTCTGTTACGGCCTGACCCTAGACCGGGTCATAACAGTACTTAGAGGAGAGAATAAGGTAGCTTGCTATACTTTTGCTAATGTCCTGCACTAAACTAACCTTTCAACTAACAATTTCACAAACATTAGCAAACATGGCAGTTAGGGACAAATTGTCACAGAGATTTTGGGGCAAGCTGACACATATGAAAAACGTCTATTTTCACTGACACACCAGTGAAAGAGACCCTTGCTGAAAGGCAGGTACAATCAAACAAAAGAAACGTAAGGAAAACAATCTAAAATGCTTAACAAAAAAATAATGACTCCAGAGGACTCTTCATCAGATGAAGATGAGTGACTGTGCCTTGTTTGCATGGAGCCTTTCTCAAACAGCCACCCAAATGGGTTCAGTGTGACATGCAAACAGTGGGCTCATAAGGAGTGCACCACAGGCCAGGCGGTTTATATGTGTCAGAACTGTGATTCTAACAGTGAGTCTGATCAGATAACCCAGAGCCTACTGGGATAAAACACAGTAGCATTATATTTTTGTTTGAATGCTTGAAATGTTTTATTTGAAAGATCGTTTAAAACGATTGTACAGTTTTTGCAGTTGGGACTGTTTTAAAGAGCTCTGTGATGCTCCAGGACTGATCCAGCGATTAATGATTAATCAAATTCAATGATTAATCAAGCTTTCTTTCTGAAGTGGCATTTAATTTTGAATTTGAAGTAGAAACAATTCAACAAAAATAACCCAACAATTAATTGACTGTTTTTATTAGTTGCTAAATCCAGTGTGAAATCTTACCTTATATAGTGTGACAACTTACCCACTGATGGGGCAACTTGAAACAAGTGCACACTCATTATTTAATTGCTTAAAAATCTGTATGGAAATAATATATAAAAAACGTCATTTATACAAAATATATGCCTGAGACTTTGTTATTTCATTTGGTGTGCAATTTGTAACATTATGCTCTACTGATCTCACGATATGCAATGAGCCATGCTTCCAAAATCTCCACCCATTTTCAACACATTCCTCCTACTTTTTGCATGGCCCTCCCTCAAATGTGTATACACGGGAGATTGAGGAGATGATTTAGATTTTAGGCAATCTTCAATTTTAGAACGTTTAATGCTTAAAGGAGAACTCCACTGATTTTTCAAAATGAGTGTTTAATTTAATGGTTGAGATGTAAACAAAGTCAGTCAGATTGGCTTGATTTCAGATTCCTTTACAGTGGTGGTGATAGGAACCAGAGGTTGTAATGTCTACAGCACAAATATATCAATTTTGTTTGCTAACTAAAACCAGCAATTGACCTGACCTGATAAAATCTGAGTTTTCTTTGAGGTCTATATTGCCTAACAACACTCTGCATGTACTATTCCACCATGAAAGGATTAAAAAATAAGTTTTAGTCTTAAAGCTTAGAAGAAACCTAGCGCAAAACAAGGTCTCAGGCATCATGTTTTTTTCATAACCATTTCATGTAATAAAGTGGAGCTTTTAGAGGCAATAAACTCTTCAGACGTCTGGTTCCCATCATCACCACTGTGTTTCGCTTAAACAAAGCATTTCACATCAAACCACTCTGAATGACTATTTACATCTTAACAATGTGATTACGCAATTTTTTTTAAATCTGTGGATTTTCTCTAAACTTATTTCTTTCTTTTGAACTGTTTTCCAAACTCTTTTTAATAGAATAAAACTTTGTAGCCCAATTTTCGTCAAAACAAATATAGCATTTTGTTTGCCGTGCCACTCTGAATGGGAACTGAACTGAATAGAAAGAGAGAGTGAATAAGTTATTAAAGACAGTGAAATGGAGAGAGAGAGAGAGAGAGAGAGAGGAGAAAGCTGACTCTGCATTCTCGCAGGATTATCCAATCACAAGGTGCAAACAAATGAGCCCAATCTC